TATTTACATAAAACTCTTACTTGATACTTAGAGCGTAATTAGTTTCATGCTTCAAACGAGGTTGTCCTGCAGGCCGTACTCGCAACATATAGGTACCATCTTCACGAGGTTCTAATTTATTTGATGCTGTATCACGTCCCATTTCTCCTACAAACCATAATTTCACAGAGAGAGCACGTTCACATGATAAGGATGGTGGAGGTGGAGGCGGAGGCGGTATTGGCATACACCGACCTGAATGTGCAATGCATTGTTTGTGTACAGCATAACAACAGGCTTCACATCGATATCCCTATTTAAATAAATAATTTAATAATAAATTTATGTTACAATATTTAATAATTTTATAACATTGTACCTGAAAAATTCGGCCCTTTAAAAATTTGCCACATCTTTGACAACTACGTGGAGTGTTAAATGTTGTAAGCTTAAACTTATGATTTGTATTGCGACACGCGGCAGGATTAACATTATCCATTGCATCTTGTAATGCTTTCATCCACATTTGTTTTTGTTCTTCGGTTCTTGCATGCAAAGTATATGCAGTATATTCTTGTTTATGAACCAGCAGCCATTGATAGGACCATCGAGAATCTCTGCCAAGAGTTCGCCTTCCTGTGTGATCTTCTAATCGATAATCATCAAGACGTAAGGTTTCACGATAACAATATTGTTCTCCTCTGCCTGCTTTACAAATTAATACTACTTGTTCGAAAACAAATACATAACGCGCTTTTAATCGTTGATCACCATGAGCTTTTACCTGAAATGCGATAGTAATATTTCGTTAATTTTTATAAATAATATTTAAATTATTTATTATCAAACAAATTTACTACCTTGAGTTCTCCATCCCTAAGTAATCGTCCAAAGTCTTTTAATTGCGTATCTTCTGGTACATCCCAATCAATTATCGATGCTTGAATATCTCTTATAATGTCCAACGTGTCTGAATCACGTTTTACCTCATTGATATATTGTGCTATGTCAACCATTACTTCTCTAGCTTTTGCAAGTTGACGTCTATCTTCCAACCAATCACAAGGAGTTTCTTCTACTAATTTATCAAGCAATAAGTGATATTTTAATACTCTTTGCATTGGAACAGATAAAATATCCCGCAATTTGAATTTCCCATTATTTGCTTCTTGTTGACATCTCTGCAATTATCACTTTCATTAAGTTTATTAGAATATCGTATTAATAATAATTAAGAATAAATATTTTAAAACATACAATAACTTCTTGGTTAACTAATTCATTACGCGCACATGCTTCTTGCAATGTGTTTTGAGCAAGAGTAAGATTTGCGCAATAATCGCCATAAATAAGAAATTTTTCTCGCCAATCGAGAAAAACTTGCGCTAAAGCAGCACCGGTCCTTGCTTTTCGAAGTTGACTATGAAAACCGGCATGAATTTCTGCGAGTTCTTTTATGCCAAAAAAAATACGTGTAGAATCTTCAGGTCGCAGTAACGAAGAAAGAGGTCTAGCAAAATGTTTAAGTAAACTATTAAGAACATCCGAATAATTGCGTTCTGTCTCAACAAGTTCTTGAATTACATAATCCCTTTTTTCACCTCCAGAAATTGCTCCATCCTGTTTGATAAAAATTGATTAAAAATTTTTTTTTGTAACAAATACAATAATGTGAAATGTGAAATACCATGAAGCATAACAAAATTAATTATTAGCTATAATTTATAATATTAAAATGAATTTTTGATGATTGCCTGTATATAAAAAATATAAATATTTAACGACCTGTGCAACAGATGGAGGAGGTGGCAAATGTAGACTACAAAGGTCCTGGTAGATTTCTTCACTTTGAGCATGGCTGCAGTATGCTCCATATCCATCTTCTTCTTCAACGGGATCTTCATTGTCGCCTCCTCCACCTGCTTCATTTCCCTCTCGCCTTCTAAATCTCCTACGACGATCTTCATCTTCACGGCTTTAGCATAAAAATATGAACAGCCATGCACTATTCATGCATGAAAAAAATAAAATTTCTTGCAAACTTAAACTATTTGCAGCAACTATAGATTTCATTACAAACAATAAATATAATTTAGCATATAGAATTTTAGAACAAATGTAGAATAAAATTTAAATTAGTGCCAGTATCACTGTACTGATTAATCTTTGAATAAAAATTTATAAATAATTTATTAAATAAATACATGTAAAAATTGTCTTTTAATTGAATACAGTGATGGTTGGTACTTTAACTGCAAATCTTTAAACATTTAAGTTGCAAACGACAGATACCTTCTCTGTGGAAGGCCAGTCGTGTTGAGAATTACTCGAGAAACAGAGTAATTCCTGATATACTTGAGATTCATCTACATCCATAACCTTAGGTTTCATGGTAAATGTCCCCACTCCTGTTGTGGGACTAAACCCATTGATACAGTTATTATAAATATCATAAATAATTTTTTCTTATCAATTTTTATCATAGCTTTATAAAAAACTATCGTGTTTAAGAAAATATTTTGTTTGTACTTCAGGAGCAAAATATAATTTAGAATTTACAAAATTTAGAAGTTTAAATGCTTACCCTGCACCAGCACTTTGTAAATCTTTATAAATATCCTCTTGTGATCTACCATGACTTATAGAAAATCCACTGTAATAAATATATTTTTTTAAAATTTGTTTATTAACATAATATAATTTATGAATAAAAAATTGTATGGTAACAAATTACTTACAGTATACCTTTGCGTCTTAAACGAGGACAATTTGATAAAGCTGATAAAGTACGTAATACACGAAGAAAATCTGACAGATCAAATAACATAGAAGGTTCAAAAAGTTCAGAATCAGTTAATCCAAATATAGTTGAACATGCTGATAAAAATACTTTTATATTTCTTAGACATAAAAATTGTGCCATCTGTGGTTTTTGGTTTACATCTTTCATATCTATACAACCGGGATCCACTGTATTTAAAAGATTACATAGCAGCACACCATCTCTTAATGTATATGCTAAATCCACTGCAGTAGCCTCTGGCCAATTTGCTTTATGATCTGCTCTTAAAGCTCCACATCTTGTTAACCATTTAACACATTCATGCCAACCACTTCCATTATCTGAACTGCTTTCTATTCTGTTCATTTTTATATGTTTGGTTTAATACAAAATATTAAAAGTTTATAATAAGAACTCTTTCAATCTATAATACATTAGGCCATAAAGATTTTATAGATGTATTTTCTTATATTATGAAACTGTAAAAATAATAATTATAAAAAATATTACGAAAGATAATATACAAAGATAAACTTTAATATACTAATATACAAAGATATACTTTAACAAATAATAAAAAAAATAAATTGAAATCATATCTAAAAGTATAATTTTAATAGATAAAACTATCAGAATTGAATGTGTATTGCATAAAATGCATTAGAATGAAAAAACATAATAAAATATAACATTAAAATAAATAATATTTTTAAAAATATACCTCCATTCAACGAAGAATTTATAAATTGTTTCTTCGTTCTTCTGTCAGTGTTAAGAATATTCTGTAACCAGTTCTATAAAGGAATTCATTATTGTTCCGTGTCGGTTCTTAAAGATATCTCAACGGAATCTATAGTACCGTTTAAAATGGTTTATTGGCAGTGTCATTGCTAAGAAAGCATTTGACCAAATTATAACTTTAATACGTGGTTATTACTTTACACGATATGCCTTGTTTTCTCATTGTAATATTATGACGTTCAGCCCGCTGCAACTTATGATCGCCATATTGCTACTTCACTGCAGTCGATCATATTATAAATCTCAATATAATATTTGCTTCATGTATTCAATCATAGATGGAGCTATATGTTTAGATAAATTAATATTATATTCAAAAGTTTGAAAATTGAAACAAATTGATTTTAGCAACAGGATTTTTATCTTTTTATTTTTTTACTAAAATGTAGTATTCATTTATATTTTATTATAAGTATATTATAAGAATTTAAATAGAAGAAGAATTAAATAAAAACATTTTAAATTATTTAAAGTAAGAAATTCATAAATATATTTTTTAAAAGAATATAAAACTTGTAATAATTTATTTAAAGAATGATATTGTTATTGAAATAGTGATATATAAATATTTAGTTGTTATTTCAAAAATTTTATAAATTATATGTATTTTAATTTTATTAAGTATTAATATTTTGTATGAATAAAAATAAAAATTACTAATTTTAAGAATTTTATTTATACTATACATTAATATATAAATTAGTATTATAATACTATTTAAAACGTACTGATCTCTCAGCCAATAGGATAAATAAACCTCGATGACGTAAAGTGAAGTTTCATATATATAAACATATACATTCATATATTTACCGTTCGTAGCACATTCTTATAGTTACTTTAATGCAGTGTGTCGATCATAATGACAGTAGTGTTACTATTTAAGAGCTATTGAATGGTATTGTATTTTATATTAATTAATAATACAATAAATTATGGTAAATTTGTTACGGTAAATTTTATATTTAAGAATATTGTGTTTATTTATACATATACAAATTATTTATATGATAAATATTACTATATAAAAAGATATATATGATAAAAAGATATTATATGAATAAAAAAGATATTTTGAAAATATTTTAATTTTATCAATATAATATATTTAAATAATTAATTTTATTAATATAATATATTTGAATATTTAATTAATTTTATCAATATAATATAATATAAAATGTTCATGATTCTCTCCGTCAATTTTCAAAATCTATATCCAAAAATTTGTATACAAATAAAGTATTTACATAATAAATAAAATATTATTGTCGCGAATATATCATGTTTATTGTTTCGAATTGCGGATTTCTGACATTTTATATAAATTATATCTTTTTATGGATAGAAAATAAATTTGTATGGTTGTTTAAAACAATGTATAATAATTATTTAGATAATATTCAAATATAAAATATTTCAATATATGTAAAAATAATTTATGTTCATATTTTTTTCTTATAATTATAGTATACAAAATGAATCACGAAAAATAGGATATTTAAATATTTTCATTATTTGTCATCATTGTATCAAAAAGTTTTTAAGACAAAGTTGCAATATTGATATTATTAATAATAAAAACAAAAATTTTCAAGATCATTCTTTATGGAATTTTTATGTTACATTTCATTTTAAAACAAATTTATCGATTTATATTGTAATCTTAAACTGATCTTGTTTGAAAACTTGACTCAGATTGATTGAAAAAATACGATGATTTTATTTCGTGAATAATATTTTTAACATATCTTTCCTATTGTTTGTCTTTATACAATTTTTCATTTGGACTGTATTTATGTGTAATTAATAAATTAAATTAAATAAGTAAGTTTAATGCAACAATTTATTATGTTATTACATAAAAAGAAACAAAATATATTGTAAATTAATGTATGACTGTCATTGAAATTTAATAAATCTGACCAAAAATGATAAATTATTTTATTTTATATATTTTAAACAATATTCAATATTTTGTTGGTTTTGACACTTGACTTTTGTTTTTTCTTCGATTAATTTTCTATCTATATTTTTTATTTGTGTATTAAAAATACATAATAAATTTTCCAATTCTTTGTTCAATTCTAAAATTTTCAATTAAATTTGAAATAAAAATTTTAACTTCAATTTCTTAATACTTATGTATTATCATATGCACCTTCTTAATTTTTTTTTGTATATATTATAGGAAAACTTATAAAATAATAGATAGAACACTTTTTCAAATATGAGATAAATCATAATAAACACGAATGAACAGTCAACTTAATTGTTAGTCAATATTAAATAAATTATTTTGTATATTCAATATAAATTATTAAAGCGAATAATTTGTTTATATTTTTATATAAATAAATCTAAATCTAAATATAAAAATATAGTATTTGATTAATTAAGATTAATGATGATATTATGATTCGTATATAATATAAATATAATATAAAATTTTTTATATAACATAATGATTTAAAAATATTAAATGATCTGAACGAAAAATTTATGAAACGATAATTATTTTTGAATAGAATTTTAAATATAATTTTTTAATATTCTTCCCTTCCATTTTATTTCTTTTTTTTTTCTATTTTAAATTTTTAGAATACCGAAAAGATGCAGGTTTTATTTTACGTGATTGCATTATTAATTGTATGTAATGTCACACATGGAAACCTTTACAATAAATTACAATGTAAAGATGAAAATAATTTACCTGTAGATTGGTAAATATTTTTTAAATTATTAATTTATCTTATCTTTAATTAAAATTATATTAAAATAAAATTAAAATTAATTTTGTATAAGATTTATAATATATATCTCTTAATTAATTAATAAATAATACAAAATATAATTTAATTATAAATTTAAAATAATACTTATTATTTTAGGTATGTGCTTTATAAGTTACCAAAAATTCAAACAAGTAGCAATCCTTTAATTAGAGAAGGTTTCGCTTATTTGTACATAACAAATGTAACCATTAGATTAGGCTGGCAATTGTCCACTAGGCCTATCGGTTCGAGTAATTCTATGCCTGGAATTACATTAGCGCCTCTTTACAATCGTGTAAGCATTTAGCAAATACTAATTATTGATTAGATTTAATAGAAATCTAATACTATAGAATAGAACTACTTTAATTAGAATTCAATTATTATATAATAATTTAAAGATGGCGAAAAATAAAATTTCATTTTATTATAATTTATTATGTTCTAATTTGAATTTTCAATTTATGAATTGCGAAGTCTTAAAGAAATCGAAAAATAATTTTTAAAGAGATAAAAGATTTTTAAGAATTTTATTTGCAATTATTTATATACAAATTTTTTAATGAAAATTTCATTATTTTTTTATTTTATAACTATGTGGGAATGTAATACATATTAATGATTTATGATCTAATGTGATAGATTTTTAAATTTTCGCTAAATTATATATAATTTTTAAAAATAAAATATATTTATTTTATTAAAAATATAAAGTAAATGTATAAAAATGTATAAAAAAGGAAATCATTGATTTAAATATAATATATCATTAAAAAAAAAATAAGAAAAAAATTTTAAGAATAAATAAAATAATTTAAGAATAAATTAATGTTATATATATAGTAAAAAGAATAATTTAATGGATATAATAATATAATCCTATATAATAATTATATAGGAAAACGAAAAGGATAATTTATGGAATTTATATAACGATAGTCCGCCAAATGCATCTTATGCATGGAATTATGGTCATACTAAAGGTGTAGTGATGATAAACAGTGATCAAGGATTTTGGTTAATTCACAGTGTTCCAAATTTTCCTCCAGTTCCTATAGAAGGTATGCAAACTCGACCATTAAGAAGGGAAAATATAACTATCGATGGCAAATATAGTTATCCAGAAAGTGGAACTTTATACGGACAGAGCTTTTTATGTATTTCCCTTGGGAATGATCAGTTCGATGTTGTTGGAGAACAATTAATATATAATGAAATAGCAGTATATGCAAAAAATATTCCCAAAACTCTTGGTAAAAAATATCCAGTATTGAAGAATGCAACCAATCAAAAACATTTTAAAAATCCTCCATATACTCATAAAGCCATTATAAAATCTTTAGGAGATCTTGAATTCATTTCGTTTGCTAAGAGTGGTAAATGGGGAAAAGGTAAGTAATTGTAGATAATAATTATTTATATTATATATAAAATTATATTATACGTACATATTGTTTTTTTTATATAATATTATATTTACATTATTTAATGTAAATAAATTTAATTAAATTTCAGATTTGTATGGCGATTTTGTAGCACCACAATTACAAGCAGATTTATATGTCCAGTCATGGTTGAATAGTCGAGGAAAGTTACCTACAGTTTGTACTCGTAGAAAGTAGGTTATATCATATTTTAATCTTTGTTCCTTCATTTTAAATTATTTTCCATTTCATAAATTCATTAATCTTTCAGAATTTATAATGTTAAAAGTCTTAAATTCGAAACAGTGAATATAGATTATAATAGCAGTCACGATCATTCAAAATGGGCAATAACAGCCACTAAAAAATCTAACAATCATTGGGTTTGCATTGGTGATATTAATAGAGCTGTAAGTTTTATAATCAAAAAAGATTTTTTTATCTAAAAATAAATAAAATATAAATATACAAATTATAAATATTAAAAATGTTTTCCTGTTTAGGATACACAATATTCACGAGGCGGTGGAACTGTGTGTTTCAAAAAGTTATGGAATGATTATCGTAATATTATAAATGATGTAGAGCCTTGTCATAATACTTCAACATGACACAATATAAATATTCGTGATTTTTTAAAATAATAATTACTTGATGAAAAATTAACATACTAAAAAAGATATTAAAGTTAAACAATATTGTATGTTTTAATAATATAAATTTACATTATAATAGTATAAATGAAAGAAAAGAAATATGAAAAAATATTATTTTTAATATGAAGTGCAAGTATAGAGATATTGATTTAATAATATTTCAATCGATTTATCTGTATAAATGATGTTTTTCAATATTGTGAATTTTTATAACACCAATATGAGGACATGAAGTAATAATCGTCAGATTAACTGCAGTTTACTTGCAAGTATATAAAGAAGAGATCTCAGTGGCTCTTTATTACTATCTGTAGAATAAGGACGAACGACGGAGATCAGAAGCAGTTCTTAAATTGGATTTTATGAAAGGCGGCAGTGACTCTTTCTGCACCAACTCTCGTTTCGTCTTTCTTTTTCTCAGCCGTGCTTATTGTCTATCTAAGGAAATTGCAGAGTAGCTCGTGCCGTTAATGAAAGAAAAAAAAAGGTAGCCGAGGTTTAGTAAGCGGAAAGAGAGAGAAACGATTTGCTCTTTAATGAAAATTCCAAGAAATCGACTGAACTTCGGTCTATTCTTTATCGGCCGCTTCAAGTTTCTCTATTTCTTTGATAGACTTTGTTTCAAAGATTTCTTTTTTAGTGAAGAAAAAAAAAATTTTCTAAATATTGAATCGATAAAAACTATTTCGATTATTCATTGCATTACATTTTTTTAAATCATAAACATGAATCTTTAATTTATTTAGTCGTAATTTTCTAATATAATATTAAATTCTTTAATATTAAAATGTATACTTAGATAATGTTTATTTGTTTATTTGTAATTACACACATTTATCACAATATAATAATAATCATAATTATATATAATAATATTATAATAATAATAATATAATAATAATCAATGAAGATAGAAAGATATATATATACATATATGTATAGTATAATGAAGTCGTTTCGTATAATACATAAAAAAATTTTTGAATAAAATGAAATCATTTATTTTTTAATCCTAATTTAACGTTGTTAAAACTTATTTTATTTTCTTATAAAATATAAAAATATGTAATATAAATATTTAAATTATTTTATTTAAATTATTTGAATTTATTTTTGTATTTATATTTGTTGAGTATATTCCAGAAATAAACAAACAAACAATACAATTGATACTGTTTCATCAATCACTAGAGAAACGAAAGGGATAGGGAAAAAGAAAAGAAAAGAGAGATAAACTGATTTGGATGAAAAGATTGAACGATAGAAAGGTGGAGAAGAGGGTTAAAATTCGTGGGTGTTCATCCAGGCGTGAATCAACCGACAAACGGTGCATGCTGCTAGGAGACAAAACAACGACGAAAACGAGAAGCGAGGGAGTTCGGTAAAGCATCTGGAAGCGGATGCTTGGAAAAACAAGCTGACTGCCGTTGAAAGGGGATTAAAAGCAGGAATGCAAGGATTCCTTTAATACAGAGCTGGCAGCTGGCTGGTATCATTCAGTCAATTTCTTGAAGTCTATATAATTATATAATATTTATAATTTAGAAAAATTAATTTTAATATTTTTTTATTTTCGATATTGAGATATTAATCTATAATCCAATATAAAAAGAAATTGATATATATATATATATATATGTTTGTATTATATATACAATATATATGTATATATGTATATAATACTTACATATGCATACACAAAAAAGATTCTGAATTTTATTGAGATTATATTATTTATATAGATGATAATCTTGAAAAAGAGAAGATCTTATAACAAATTAGTGAAATATTATTGATATATTTCATGTCACGTACCGTTTTGGTGTGCTTGATGGAGCGCAGATTTTGGTTGAAGCACATAGTAGTGTCGTCATAAAAGGCTATGAAATTTTGGCGGCTGGAAAGATGAGAAGACGACGTTGCGGTGTTCGCAGCGATATTTTAGCATTAAAGGCACCCTGTTCTGCATACTAAAATCCTGTGCACCATCCAAATATACGCGCAACGTTATATGCATGAAACCATCGTGTGTCGTGTTTCGTGTGTGTATTTAAGCACACTACTAGAGCGCATGCGCAAGCTTCTATCATCCTTTTTCCACCGGTTACCAACATCCTACGGTCTTTACCACCTAGCTTCGTATTTATAGTTTATGTACAGGTATGTGTCGTGCTAGATAGTCTTATGTGAACTTTAATATTGCCTTATACCTATTCTCATATTGGATACGAGAAAAAAGAAAATCATAGTAGAATTGAAAATAAGATTCTCTAAAATTTATAAAAGCGAGATATCAATTTTTTAAATTTTATATAATTAGAATGAATTGATAAACAATGCAACATAATTATTTTGTTAACTAGTATAATTCGGAAAATATAATTTCAATTATATTTAAAAAATTTGAAATTTCACAAAATATCGTAACAAAATAAACAAAATATCGAAAACAAACAATTAAAAATGATATGGAATTTAGGTTAAGGCCATAATCGATTATGCATATTTCTAAAGGTTATGCATATGTAACAGAAATTTGTAGATAAAGTTTAATATTCATATTACAGACTTTAAAATAGTTTTCTCCATTGTACAAAAAAGATAACTCAAATTTATGATATCATTATACAATATAATAATAGTTCTTTCTTTTTAAATGCTTTATATTATCAATATATGTCAGCATTACAAAGTTTATGACAGTATTTATTTGTTTATGTTCGTTATATTCTGAGTCATTGTTCTTTTATTCATCCACTTTATTTGGTGAGCTGGAAGTTATTTTAGTTTCTTATAATACATATTTTAAACAAGGACATCAACTTTAAATCTTCAATGTGAACAAAATACAAACGTCTCGTATCGGATATTTTTAAAATTAACCTTCTGAATTGAAATTTTTAAAATATTGTATATCATTAGCAATGTCAAGTAATAATTATTTGCATATGAGAAATTTTTAAATTCAAATTCATGACATCTTTTAAATTTTATTTTAAGATAATGATGTAAAATATTCAGTCTTAAATGATCATCTTTAAGACATCTCAAATATTTAATGAATAGATTTTTTTGATTATTTAAATAAAAGTCTAATAAAATAATTGCCTTGATTAGAAATAAAATTATAATATATATAATAGTAAAATATAATATTATTACGTGTATTTGATAAATATTGAAATTTTATTGAAATTTATTTTAAATATATATTTTTTTTTATTATATTAGATTGACTGTTATAATTTGCCAATGTCTTAGTATATTTTCGAAATGTAAAAAATAGATTTCATTAATTGGAAGTTATTTTTTTTAATTTGTTCTTCATTGTATCCATTATAATATTATAATAAATATGCGTTTTATAACTGTGCAATAAAAATTATATAGAAGTTTTCAATTTGATTCTGCTTTACGTTAACAATTAATATTTCATAAGAAGCTCTAATAAATTCAAGCAGGGAAATTTATTTATTCATTGTTCTACACAATTTGTATTAAATAATACTGATTTATAGATGAAGAATAAATGTTAGAACATCGTAACATAATCAGGATGATAGGAAACAAATTTAATAAGGCTAATAAAGATAAATATATAAATGCAAAATGGTCGAAGGTAGAAGATTTATTGTTGTGCGACTGCATCGCTACTGTACAGAGAACTGCATTAAGGCGGTAGGAACTATCAGAGAGGTTCTCTCTAGTTGCAACATCGTCGGGAAACTACACCGAACAACTGTCTCGGCGTAACCGAACTCGAATACATCACCGTCGTAGTTTCAACCCGAAGCTTCCGGTACTTACCGAAAACTTATCAGACAACGGAAGTGTCGTTGACTCATAACCATCGACTTATTACCTCCTCATTGCTTAATTTTCAAATAAATAATAATGATATTATTATTATTATTTTTTTCCCTTACATTATGGATTAGTAAAGATCGGATTAAGATGGCGAATGTCATCTTTTTCTCTCATTGTTAATACATATTATAATAATTTTTCCTTATGCTATCTTTGTATTTACAAGGTATTGATTCTAAAATAAATATAAAAATATATATAATATATAAAAATGTCGGTTGAAACTTATTAAATTAGAAGTAATTTAAATTCGCGTTAAATGAAGACGGGAATAGAGCGATTTCACTTTCTTTTTATCTCGCTTCTTCTAACGCAAATTTTAATAACTTAATAATGAATCTTAAATGATATTTTTGTATACCAATTTTTACGTTTATTTTGGTCTGAAATCGAGCACCAAAAGTGTTCCTTGAATATATTAACCACTTGTACATAAAACGATAATGTAGTTTAGTTTAATAAGATAAAGTAGATATCAAATTAAAGTAAATATAATGTAATAAAAAATTAACATGAAATTATGATTTCACGCATGTAGCTTTAATAAAAATTTAATACGAGGAGTTTAAATAAAAATAAGTTCTATATGAGCAATAAATTTTGGTGTTAAGAAATGTTTAAAATAAATTTAAAACATTAATCTTAATTTTATTTTTGCATTATTTTTTTTGTACATGACATAATGATAATGATCTTATTATTTTACTATAATGATTGATTTCGAATATAAAATATATTAAAAAATTCAACAATAAATATAGATTCAACAATAAATTTGATCAGAGAATCCTTTTTATGCATAATGCAGTATAGTTGCTATATTATGAATTGTATGCAAATCCTTCTTTAATGGGCTTGATATAACTGCTTAAACTGTGACGTAAATCTTGCACCAGGTGTAGAAAGATTAGCTTGTTCACATGTCAAAACGTGAATTCGTTAAATTCATATAATCATTTCATCCTATGAATTTATTGACAAGTTAATTTTTAATCAAATTATAATTTACCTTTTATATATTTTATATATGGATAAACATTTAATATTACTGTAATAAAATATTTTATTTATCTTTTTTTTTTTGTACAAGAAATAAAGAACTTACCTTTTTACTTAATATCATACTTTTATATTCTTCAGTCTCTTTTACACATTAAGAGAGAGAATCATTCCTATTGGAAGATCGTGAAATTAAATTACTCAATTGAGCCTTTGAATCGTCTCTTTTGAAATAAAAAAAAAAAAAAAAAAAAAAATTGGATATATATCATTGGTGCAACGTGAAAAAGATAAGGATTTAAAAAAAAAAAGGGATGGAGATGCGCGAGGGTGTGAATTGGTAACGGCACCGGTAACGGGAGTAGAATTAGAGACTGGCAAGTATAAAATCGCAATGTTAAGGCCGTAGCACGGGCGAGAGAGGTGGTCCTCTCTCGTACAGACGCGGCGGAGAATAATTCAAGTAGGTGGAAACTGGAAGGGTAAGGGCGAGGGTTGCGTGGCGGTGGAAATTGCGGATGGCAGGGGTAAAGCTGCAGCACTCCGCTTAGACAAAGCCTAACGAAGCTTCTATTCAGCAACAGTAGGCATCACGAGGCCCAACTTCACTTCTATTATACTTACTCGTCGGCACGAAGTGAATTCCATCCATCAACGGAATTCCAGGCTAAGCAGCTCTCTGGCGTCTCTATCTCTGGCACGAGAGGTATTCTCTCCTTTTTTGGGGTTGCATCCTCTTTGTCTTTACCTCGTCATTTAAAGTAGCCGGTGTTTTCTTCTTTTCGACATTATTCGACATTCTTCTTTTCCTTTTTTTTATGTGTACACGGTGTCTTCCACCATTCACCAAGGTTCATGCCTTCTCCATTAGCTCGTCATCTATCGATCCTCTCTCTTTGAGGACGTCACGTTTTATATTGTTTAATTGGAAACGATATAATTATTAATACTAATAGGCCTTTTTTATTATCCTTCTCGTCCAATTTTTAGATGGTGAAAAGAAAGAAATATAAATATTCGATGTGAAATCGTTCTTACCGCTCTTTTCGGTTATTTCTACTTGTTTTTCTCCCACCATCTTCCTTTTTTCTCGCACGACTATAGACTTATCGACAGCCGAGGATATGTTGGCGCGAATCTGTGGCTGGGATAAGCGCGTCTCCACCGTAATAAAACTCCCGGAGGGAAGCCAGTGCCGTTAGCTGGAACTTTTCCTTAAAAAGAGAAGGAAGAAGAGGAGGAGGAAGAAGAATCAATCCCGTAACGTCGACTGGGTTTACGTACAGATCAATTCTCGAGACTGTAACAAATTTATTTTTCATTACAAAAATATCACATTTTATTTGTCTTTTATGTTTCTTCGTGTATAATCAGAAAGAAAAACGTTTCGTTTGCTAAATTGTTCTATAATTGATTTCTTTTTTTTTAAAAATGATTTTTATTAACTATTATTAATAATTATGCTCGTGCTCAAAAATTTTAATATCCAAAGATTTTGTAAAGATTAATAATTAATAATTTTATTAAAAAAGATTTACGTAATTGATATTCATTAATAGTTTATTGCTGGATTTACGAAAGATTCGAGAAATTTCCTCGAAATCATCTTATTGACGTAACGAAACAAAGAATATACAATAAGGAGAATATAGAGTAGTAACAAATGTAAGGGGATGTTTGTCCTTAAGTGCTTGAAAAGCTGGAGTTGAGTAATTGAACGCGTGATCAATGGGCTTAACTTCTCGATCGAATGAGTCTAGACGCAAGAACAGCTAGAAAATAAGAGAAAAATAAACGGCGAATGTTTCTCCATTGGTAAATATCGGATATCATCAATGGAATCGATATAGATTTATGGTTCAAGCATTTTCAAATGAATTTATCCTTGTTTTTTAGATCTATATATCATCTTATTGTGAAGGTATAATGAAAGGAAAGAAGAGAAGAAATATGGTATTGAAGAAAAGAAAAATATGGTATTGTTCATCTGTTAGTGATTTCATCAATAAAATAATGAATAGTCAGAAATCAGAACGAAGAAAGTAAAGAAAAATTGTTAAGTTAGTGATTTTCATATTTATAATAAAGGCATCTAGCAGAAAATAATGTAATATATTTTATCTGTTAATTATTTAAATATACTTACATTACATAGAATAACATTGGAGCATAATTGACATTAATAATAAACATAATATAATCTATCAATTTTTTTCAAGATTTTTTGTTAAGAAATACTTCTAAATTAAAAGCTTATATGTTGGGATATATTATTATAAAGTATGCACAATATTTATATTGTAAGTTTATCTAATCTTTTATATTATTGAATTAAATTCAAAGTTTCTGAAACTATGCACACTGATATATCTTCTATAATGAAGAATAATATAATCCCTAAAGATTACAACTTAGAAGCATAAACATGCATTCCTAAATTGCAATTGCTTTGAATTAGAAATAAATAAGTAAAGAATAGTTATGATGAGCTTCATTTTCTGATATTTCAGTAATTGAAATTCTTTTATAAAATTTTTGAAAACACTAATGTACAATATAATAAAATGTATAAAACGAGTGTACATCGTGCAAAATAATGTTTTTTTTCTTTAAATAATAAAAATATTTTAATTTAATTTCTCATATTAATTCATTTTTATTAGAAATTTAAAAGTTAAAATGAATTATTTTAATAATGGTTAAACATTAAATTCAATTCAATTTTTTTTATTTCCATTTTTTCTTACATATAATTGTCTATATTTTAAATAATAGTTTAAATTACGAATTAGATTTTAAAAAGAAATATAAAATTGAAGTATAATATTACTATTCTTTTCTCTATTTGTATAAACGGTATAATACTTTACAGAATACAGAAGTCATCAAAATATAATAGACATTACCATACAAATTTATGTAAATACGAATTATAAATATGTTTTAATTATATAATTCTAATATTAATAATAATAATAATTAAATAATTATAATATAATTAATTTGAATATTAATAATCTAATTATATATCCTGATGATATTTTCACCTTGCACCAAATACAATTAAAGCAAACCAGAAGTATGAAGCTTTAGTCGACAAGAGTCTCAAGAGAAATTGACCAATTATATGTTGCAAATAAATCTACAAGGTATTCCGAGTTAACGTATGTCCATTGAAGACCATACTGGAAATAGGGAGGAAAAGTAGAGAGGAAGAGATAAAGCCTGAGAATAAAGTTAGTGAAAAGGATGCAAGCAGATGAAGCAGATAGATAGCATTAGATAGAATAGCCTTCATTGTGTTCTCTGGCAAATTTTGTTGGACAATGGGAAAGGTTGATTTGGCCCTCATGAATGTATATTACATTAGCGCCCATGCTACTTTGGGATTTGAGTTAACAAGTTTTCGTATCCTCTATGACTCTTCTTGTCCTTCATTTCGCTTTTCGCATTCTTTTTTTGCATGTTTTCCATTTTCTCCAATTGATTCGAGCAAATGGATAAATCTTCGATCGATTTGGAACGAAACAAATCTTTCTCCGTTCCAGAAATTATTCCAAAATTGGAATCAACAATTCAACGTGCAATTCAGTGAAAACATTTTTAAGAAGAACGAATGATTAACGAGTTATGATCGTCTCGTATCAGATATCTGAACTTTCGAGAGGATCTAATCGAAGGTTTTTAATCAGTGTCTTCGATAAACCATCGAAGGAAAGAGAGATTCTCAAATCGGCAAACGGTGGAAGTAGAAACGTAGACAGGTCTGCTCGGAGATCCGAGGCTGGTATTTACAGAAGCAATCTAGAACAGGCAAACCAGAATCGCTTCTATCCTCCTCATCCTTTCTCTTTCCCTTTCCCTTCTTCTCTTTCGGAGAAGATGGTGGTGCTCGAAGAGCATTTGTGTGCCGTTTGCAAGGTAGGTGGCGAGGCATCTGAGGGATGCATTAGCGGTCTGAAAATGCGCCAGTGAGTGGCACAGGTTTGTCTGGCAGATAGAGAAATGCACGCGCTTAAGAAACGGGCGTTAAACAAAATATACGTCGTTGAAGCCGTCAAAATGAAAATATTTCGTGCAAACGGGACGAATGCGAAAGAATACATTCGATCGAAGGTAAGCGGTGGAAAAGTGGATTATTTAATGCGAATCGATGAAATGAAAAAAGATAAAAAATTAAGATGTATAGAAAACGATAAAGTCAATCGAGATAGAAAATGGAAATGGATATGCGATTGATCTTGACGTCACAGTAATATCAAATAATTTATATTTTTGCTGTGACAAATTGTAATATCTCTCTTTATTTTCAGTAGTATAAATATTGAAGAGGATAAACAGGAAGAAAAAGGAAATGGTTTAGAGAGAGAAATGAAAAGTAAAGATGGAAAATGAAAAGCAAATACAATAATGTAACAAGAAACTAAGAAGAATAAAGAGAATGAATAGACTAGTTGGTATTGGTCCATATTATAAGTTTCGAGGCAATTGGCAATGAATGATACAAACTATTTATTAATTTTAAATAATGATTCCACCTTGCTGTTTATTTAAAATTAAAGAGAATACTATTTGGAAGTGATCTGTTAATTTTTAGATATATAATGGATAATCCAAGTCTTAAGGAATCTAAAAATCTGTTTTATTTTCAATTATTTATGTGGACAATGTTATAATGAAAAATTTCAAGATTTATTAATTTCAATGTAAAGTCCATATAGAAACACAATAAATGGAAATGACTTATAATTCTTTCATTATATAAATATATTTTATTATTTCTATTTTTAAATATTTTTGTTGATGATAATATTTTTCCAAAAAATAATTTTAAAAATTTTATCCAATAGAAATAAAAAAGAAATTTATAAATTAAGAGACAAAAATTCTTGTACAAGGAAATTCATATAAAAATTTTAATTCTAATGTAAATTTATGTGTATATAAAACATTTATTATGATTTATATACATGAAACAATCTTTTTGAAATCAATCCTCCAAAGTTTTAACATTTTGTCAAGTTTTATAATACAATTTTGCCTGAGAATCTTGTCCACGAACAAGAATGATAAAGTATTAATTTTTGAAAATTTCATAATTTAAACTTTTACTTTATTTTGCTCTTATTTTAAACGTAACTCTATAATAGAGTTATTAATAATGTGATGTTAAAAAAAAACGAAACTTTGAAAACTTTGATTTCATCCTCTCAAAAATATTTTTCCGCCGAAAAAAAGTTGTTCCACGTGTAATCCATTATACTCTACATGTACACAAACTTTCATTAAAATCAGGATTTTCGGGTTAGATAAATTTCTCTGTAAATTTTCGACATACACGGTTACTATAAATCGTATAATATATATATTTAATTTTATTAAAAATGCATTTTTTTATAATTATGACAAGGAAGAGAGATCACATATTATTTATTTATAAAAAGAAATATCTTGGAAAAAATTGTCTTTCAACATAGATTTTTATCAATCTAAATGAAAAGAATAAAACTATTTAAATTCAAATTCTGTTACATTTATTCATTTCTATTTCATTTTATATTTTTATTTAACTTATTCAATCGTTAGAC